AGCATGGCCTATCATGTCCGTCTGCTGCCGCAAGCTCGGCGCTACCCTCCCGCCGCCCAGAGCCAACGGAAAACCTTCCTGATGAGGCGGTGCTCGCGCCAGCTGCGGTCTCGCAGGGCGTCGTCGTCTGCGCGGGGCGGAGACGCGCCCCCTCGCTGGCCGAGCGTCAGCACGATAGTTGCCACGACGCCGCCGCGCTGCAATGCGATCCCCCTGCGCGCCCGCGAGGCCCGCGCGCGCCTTCACCTCGCGGCGAAAAAGATGTCGCCGATGCCCACGCCCCCCATGACGACCCGCAGGCGGACCCAGAGCTCCCGCGGGGCCCTCGCCACCCCAGGCGCCGCGCCTTGCCTGCGGCGACGCCGTCGACGAGCACCCGGCCGCCGGCGAACAGCCCGATGGGAGGCCACCCAGAACGGCCTCGACGGCCACGCAGAGCTCCGCCGCCCCCGACCCTCGAGGGAAGGGCCACCGGAAGGGCCCAAGAAGGCTGACGGCCTCAGCGCCGTGTCCCACGACCACGACTGCCCAGCCGCCTCGCGCGGAAACCAGGCCAGGGCCCTCGACGCCGCCGTCGGCGAAGAGATCGCCCGACGAGGGCACGCCGACAAGGGCCGCCCTGCAGCCCTCCATGGCCGCGCGCTCTGCCTCGAATGGCGGCATCGCCCGTCGGTGCCCGCGCGCGAGCGCACGGGACCAGAGCGAGTCCTCGGCGTAGCCATGGCTCACCATGTCGACGATCGACATGATGTGGATGTCATTGGGCGGGCGCCTCGCGTCGCCGTCGCCGCGGAACCCCCCTCCGCGCGGCCCGCGGCAGTCGCCTCACACTGCCGCCCCAAGTGTCGCACCGCGCCGCGGGCCGCGCATCCCCGCGGGCACCGGGGCGACGATGCGAGTGGCCACCCCATCTAGAACCGACGCGCCACAGGCCATAGGCAGCCAACGAGAGCGCCCCCAGCCGACGCGAGCTCCTTCGCCGCTGTCCTGCTCACTCGCTTGCGGGGATGAGCATGCCAGTGCTCGCCAGCGCGCATCCTCCAGAAAGGTGATCGAGGCCCAGGCACCTGCCCACCTCCTCCCTAAGCGCCCTCTCACGCGCTGCGGCGATATGCTTCGACGTGGTGGAAGCGCCGAGCGCGCGCAGGTCAAGCGCCCGCTGCCGGTCGCACAAAGGCGGGCCAGGTCGCACGCGAGCACGCGTGCCGCAGCTGGTCCTCGCCCCGCCAGCGCCCCGGCCCCCTCGGCGGCGGGCTGCGCGACGGCGCCCGCAAACGCGCTGCCCGTGGCCCGCGTGTCCCGGCCGCCGGCTTTAAATTGCACGGCCTTAGCCCATGCCAGAATCGGTAGAGCGACGCGGCCCGACAATAGGTCACTCGAAAAGCGCTTGCCGACCAGAAGGCTGAGGCTGGGGCTCTGCCCCGATCCGCGGCCACAGTGGGCGGCATCGACCTGCCCCCCCCCCACCCACCTGGTCAGCTGCGGGGCGGGCCAGCCAACGGCGCCGAGGCCACATCGAGCGGCCGGGCGCGCACCCCAAAGCGGATCGCACGCAGCCGCCGCAGCTGCGACGCCGCCCTCGAATAGCGCTTCTCCAGGACTACGAAGGCCCGGCCGCCCAGGCAGCAGTCAACCAAGTTCTTCACGGACTCGGCGACGGGGAACGCCACACCGCCCATGCGCTTGGTGACCAGAGCGACAAGCTCTCACGAGCTGGCGAGAATCTCGCTCTTCGCCTCTGAAACTGGACCGCCACCGCCTTGGTCGGCTGCGCCGCGCAGGCTGCGACCTGCGCCATGGGGCCGTGGTAGCTCACGCAGCTGTCGTAAAAAATGACGGCGAGCGTCACTCTGGGCCCCAGCACCCCCCAGAGCCTCGAGCGCTCGTCAGCGACGGCCACGAGCCCGCACTTCAAAAGCCCCCCAGCGCGCGAACAGCCAGCGATGGAGCCCGCATCCAGAAGGCACGCCTCCGACACGCCCCCGCCCAGCATAAAGCGACGCTCGCCAGCGTGGGGGGCGAGGGCCATGACCAGTAGGGCCCGTGGATATTTGGCTCGGGCGCTCCGATCCTGGATGGCGGCCAAGTCCACCAGCTCGCACCCCTTCGACAGGTCGGTCGGCGCCGCAGCTGCGCCGCCCCCGCTGGAGCGCGAAGCCTCCGACTGAAGCGCCTGCCACCTGCCGCCGCACAGCCTCCTCAGCAGCGCGCGCCCTCGGCCCCTGAATGAACCGGCATGCCCTGGGTCGATCTCGGAATCCCACCGCCGCACTTCGGCCCGGCGAACTCGGCCCCATAGACGAGGGGGCCAACCGAGCCGCCCCCCGCGGTGGTGCATAAAGCGCTTGACCGACCGAATGAAGACGCAGCGCCCCTCGCCAGCCTCCGCCCAGCGGTCGGGGTCGGTCGCCGCCAGCTCGCTCACGAGCGGCCGATGCGAGGCGCGCGTCGCCCAGGTGGCCGCCCAGCCGCCCTCGCAAAATTCCACCGCCTCGGCCCAGCGCGCGGCTGCTCTCTCGCTGAAGGGCCTCGGCCCAGCGCGCGGCCGCTCTCTCGCTGAAGGGCCTCGGCTGATGGGCAGCGCCCGCAGATGCGCCGCCGCCCATGCATGCCCGGGGCCCTCCGCCAGCCCCACCATCTGCCGGGCCACCAGCCGCTGCGCCTGTGCCGCCCGGGTCGCTCTAAGCGCTGCCCTGAGCCGTCGGGCCGCGCAGCGCCCCCCTCCGCGCCAGACCCCGCTGCCCTCCCCCATCCTCGTCGCACCTCTCCTCCATGATGCGACGAGGGCGCCCAGTTCGGTGCCCTCGAGGCGCTGCCCCCGCTCGCCCCTGCTAGCTTCGCCTGACCCCGCTGCTGAGACCGCGGCTGCCCCCGCGGGCCAGACGTCGAAGTTCGCGAACTTGCGCCTCCCGTGCTCTGGGCCGAGCATGCTCAAGGCCTGGCCGAGGGCCTCGTGGAAGGCGCTGGCGCGCTGAGCCTTGCCAGGGGTCTCGGCTCCACGGCGGTCGTTTGCCGCTGCTGGAATTGCCGCTGCCGTCGCAGCCCCAGCGCCAACGCCTCCTCCCCGTGCTGCACAATCTCGCTTCCGTTAGTGCTTGACCAGGCGATTGCCAATGAGTTCCTGGAGCTCTTTCTCGGTGGTCTGACTCTGTTCGCGCTCGCATTCGATCTCGACCTTCTTGGCCTGGAGCGCGTCGATATCCGGCGCGATGCCGTTGGCATGCCGCTCGAGCGCCTCCGTCATGCTATTATGGTTGTTTTGCCTGCGCCCCAGCTCGCTGCGCTGAATGTACGTGGGCTTCTCCTAGTGACCTCCAAGTCGAGTTGCTCTGCTGGCGGCAACAACCTTTTCCGCATCATCCGAGCCATCGAGCTTCTGGATCTCGCTTCGCAGCTTGCAAAGATGACGTACACGCTCATGTTGGCCCTGCTGCTGGGCGTCGGCATGACCTGCTCCGACGTCGCTGCCTGATGCGCGTCCTACTGTTCGAGCTTCTTGACCTTCCGCCGCAACTGGTTCAAGTCGTGGCGTTCCTTGGCGTCCAGTTATGACGTCCAGCACGAGCCTCCAGATCCTTGCCCCCTTCCAGTGGTACCCGCAGCTGCGACAGACGCGCCTGGTGCCCCAATTCATATTGGCTTCGCACGGTGGGCAGTGCCAGGCTTTGGGCTGGCTGCGTGCGCCACCACTGCCGCCTCTCGCACCACCACCAGCTCTGCCTCCTCTGCCGCCCCTGGTGCCGCCCCCGCGCGCGGCACCTCGGGAACCACCACCACGTCCTGGAATTGGTAGACCCCGCGCAAGCAAAGTTCTCAATCGGGCGACTTGGGCCAGGTGTCGGAGAGGTTATGGAATCAAAAAGAACTGTGGCCGCGAAAGCCTCGCTGAAAGCGTGGTCGAAATGGGACCTGACCCAAGACATGACGCGACGGCTAAGACCAGCCACATCGGACCACATACCGGCCTTGACCGCGCCACATAAAGCCAAAACGGTTACGGATGATGATGATGGTGATGATGATGATGATGATGACGACGACGACGACGACGACGACGATGATGATGATGATGATGATGATGATAACGATGGTGATGATGATGATGAAGACGACGATGTTGATAATGAAGATGCTGGTGATGCAGATGATGATGACGATGTTGATGATGATGATAATGATAGTGATGATGATGACGATGGTGATGGTGATGGTGATGATGATGATGATGATGATGATGATGACAGTGATGATGGTGACGAGGTTGATGGTGATGTTGATGATGATGGTGATGGTGATAATGGTGATGATGCTGATGATGATGATAGTGATGGTAATGGTGATGATGATGATGGTAGTGGTGGTGATAGTGATGGTGGTGATGGTGGTGTTGATGCTGATGGTGGTGATGATGATGGTGATGGCGGTGATAATGAACATGATGAGCATGATTATGATGATAATGTTGATGATGGTGGTGATGATGAAGAGGAAGCAAGGACGGCGACGGCGACGACGGCGATGAACAAGGAGAAGAAGGAGGAGGAGGAAGAAGAGGGCGACGACGACGACGACGAGAACGACGAAGACGGCGGCGGCGGCGACGACGACGACAAAGACGACGGCGGTGGCGGCAGCGACGGCGGCAATGACGGCAGCTACGACGGCGACGACGGCAACGACGTCGACGATGGCCCGCCGACGTCGACGGCGGTGTCGACGACGACGACCACCTGAACCGCTTCTAGGGTGCGTTCTGGACGAGATTTCGATGCTGATGATGGCCCCCCTGGGAGCCCTGAATGTCCAGAAACCTGACGAACCTCAACATCGACGGCGGCGGCGACGGCGGTGACTGCGAGAAGCGGGCCGACTCCTTCCATCCTCCTCCTCCTGAAGAGCGCCATCCGGTAGCCCAGAACGGCCCAACAGGCCTCCAAAGCGGCCAAAGATGGCTCATGACCTCATGACCTCATGACCCTTCGCCTCCCTGTCCTCTTCTTCTCTGTCCCTCTGTTCCTCCCTGAATTCCTCGTTGTGGACATATATCTCAATGAAACACGTGCCATGCGTCAGCGCGTATCCGAAGCACCCTGGGCGCGGGGCGCAATCTCAACGGGCTCCACCCGGGCAGCAGAATACAAAAAATGCAGCGACAAAAGGCTGCTTGCCGCGTCGGCAGGGCTTTGTATAAGCCGATCACCCTCCATCGGACTGACGTCGGCAGGGATCAGTATAAGCCGATCACCTTCCACCACACTGCACCAACCGATGTCCACACTGCCATGTTGAATATCATGAAGATTAGGCCGAGCTTATACCACTCCTTCTGGGACACGTAGCCACCAGCAAAGAAAACTGGTGCCTGCGCCGAGGCGTAGGGCGTGAGGGAGCCGAACAAATTAGAGGCCGCGGCCAGGGCGAACACGGCCACCGCTGGTGGCGTTCCTGTTTGCACCATCATCACCACGAAGGGCACATAAAGCGCGCTCAGGTGGGCGACCTGGGATGCAAAGGCATAGTGCGAGAAGGTGTACATGACCAGCAGAAGGGCGAAGGCGGGCACGGCAGACAGGCCCGCAGCGAGGATCCTGGAGGAGATGACGCCTGCAAGCCACTGCACCACGCCCGTCTTGTTCAGCATGGCACTCATGCTAACGAGAATTGCAAACCACGTCATGGTGGTCCAGGCGCCCGACTCGCCGGCGCAGTCGCCCCACGTCAGGGTGCCGGTGAACAGGAGCGCTGAGAGCCCGAGCACTGCGGTAGTCACAGGCTTCACGCCGATGACACTCGCGCCGGCCCACATGAACAGCATGCCCAGGATGGTGGAGCCCAAGATGATCTCATCCCTGGACATCGGGCCCATCTCATCGAGCTTCCTCTTGGCCTCTTTAGGTGCCTCGGGCGTCTCCTTGACCTCAGGAGGGAGCACCTTGTACACCAGGAGGGGCGTCAGGACCATGGCCGTCAGCGCAGGGACACAGGTGGCCTTGAGCCACGCAATGAATGGGTTGTTGATGACGTACCCTGCCTGCGCCGCAAGCTTCAGAGCAAGGAGGTTCTGCGCGGCCCCGAACAGCCAGAGCGAGGAAGAGTTCCCAGTGGCCTGGAAGGCCGACTGCACCAGGAACGCCCCGGTCTTCCTCTCCGTGCCGTCTGCCGGATCCGAGCCGCTGGCCTGGGCCACCGAGCGCACTAAAGGATAGAACACGCCCGCCGCACGGGCAGCCGAGGAGGGCATGCCAGCAGCGAGGGCGCCCTCCGCCGCGTTCAGGCCGTAGGCGAGGCCGAGGGTGGTGCTGCCCACCAGGCGCACGATGCTCAGGGCGATGCGCTCACCGAGGCCAGTCTTGGCGAAGCCCTTGCAGAAGAAGAACGCGAGGAGCACGAGCCACAGCACCTCGTCGGTGAAGGCGGCCACGCCCTCGCCGAAGGTGAGCGTGCCGGTGAGCATCCCCACGGTCAGGGCGCAGAAGGCGACGCCCGGCGGGGGCAGCGGGCCCGTCACGATGCCGCAGATCGTCGCGATGAACAGGGAGAGCACCGACCACCCCTGCGGTGAGACGCCCGCTGGCACTGGGATGGCGAAACGGATGAGGAGCCCGATCCCAATGGTTATCGCGGTGGGCACGACCTTCGCCCCCTTCCAGCCCGCGGCGCCAGCCGCCGACGCCGAGCCAGCGCCCCTGGCGCCCCTCCGCGCCGAGCCGCGTGACCTGCGCCGCCCCGCCGCCAGCAGCAGGCCCAGGGCGGCGCCCCCGAGGCCGCTGACCGCCGGCGGGGGTCCGCGCCACTGCCCAGCCGCGCCAGCCCGGCCCAGGCCGCCCCTGGGCGTGGCTGGCGAGCCCGGCAACCTCGGCGGCCCCGCCCGGGAGGGCGCGGCGCCGGCAAGAAGCGGCCTGCAGGGTGCTGCCGCGCGGCCCTGGGCAGCCCTGGGCCCCATGAACGCTAGCTGCTCCGCCTCGTCCCCGCCTGGCAGGGCGGGCGCGAGTGCGAGCAGGCAGAAGGCCAGGGAGGCGGCGGCGGCCCGCGCTGCACGTCCATGCAGAGCCATGGCGGCGCGGAGCCGGGGTTGGCTCTGCCAGCTGCCTCGGCGCAACGGCCGGCTGGAGCCCAAAGTTGTCCAGGACGCTGACATGAGTAGCACGACGTTCGTGTATATCTGAGGCAGTAGGAAAAATGACGGCAGCTACTGATGCCCAGTACTGATTTTCATGAGCAGGAGCACTGATGAACGCCTGGGCGAAAAGGTCTATCGTCATCTCGATCGATCGATATATTGACCCTACCTGCCATAGAGTGGAGTTGAGCGGGGAGCTCCTCCCAACTCCCCTCCTGTATAAACGTGGCGTCTACAGATGCGCACTACACCCTCAGCCG